ATGAAAGAACCAAGCACATAGAGGTTGACTGTCACTTTGTGGGAGAGAAGGTGCTGAATAGAGTGATAGACACTGCATATGTTAACACAGGGAACCAGTGGGCAGACTTATTTACTGAAGAAAACTGAAGAGAAGAGAGTTGAGGGTTCGGCATATGTTAACACAGGGAACCAGTGGGCAGACTTATTTACTGAAGAAAATTGAAGAGAAGAGAGTTGAGGGTTCGGAAATGAGGGTCTGAGAAGAGGGTTTCGAACTCTTGCTCTCTCTGCCCCCTAACACTGTTTTATTAGATATATTTGAATAATTACGAGGCCCTTAGTTGGGCAAGAATTTACAAAGAACTTAGTATTGACAGGATGGGCCCAGAATAAGGCCCATTACAGAAAAGAAACATAAATAACAAGAAAGAATAAACAACCTACAACCTATGGGCCATTCGGCCCATCTTCTCTACATTTTCCAAAGGGTTGAGTCAGGGAAGAGTGGACTACATATGTAACAAGTTGGGATTATATGATATATACTCACCATCTTGAGGGGGAGTGTTAGTGTCGAGTATGTAGGGGTATTTCTGTCTTTATACTTACGTTGAGGTTGCTGATCTGTAATATTATATTTGAACTAGTGTCCCTCACTTAAGTAAGGGCACATGTGTCTTTTCCATTATGTTAGTAATATAAAATGTGTCTGGCCGAATGGGAGAGGTAATTTTTCTCTCATTCGAACCAGACTTTTCTCCTCTTTTCTCTCTCTCTTTCTTTCTTCTTTCTTCTTCTCTCTTCTTGGCTGTTATCAGACTAACAGAACTCAAGGGCAGGCCGAATAATAATAATTCAGTTCTCCTTCATCTTCCTACAACCCATGATTTTGCTCTATAGGAGTGTCTGATGGTCTCCTAGCTTCACTGTCTCCTTTAGAAGGTCCAATGCATACTTCCTTTAGCAAATGTATGTTCCCTCTCTAGATCTACCCACACATATTCCTATGTAATATTTCAGAGTTCCCAGATCTTTGATTTTAAACTCTAAGGCTAAGAAGCCTTTCAACTTTTGGATCTCATTCAAATTATCTCCCGTAACAATCATATCATCAACATAAATAATCAATGCTGTTAGTTTTCCTTCATTTCTTTTCGATAACGTGTGACCAGCACTACTCTTCTTATACCCAACAACCTTCATTGCCTTGCATAATCTTTCAAACCAATCCCTTGGAGATTGTTTGAGGCCAATATAAGGTCCTCCTTAGCTCACATACTTTTCCTCTCATGTCATACCATGGAGGGTCCATGTAGACTTCTTCTTGTAGATCTCCATTTAAGAAAACATTATCGACATCTAACTGATGTAGTTCACAAGAAAAATTTGCTGCAAGAGAGAGTAACACCCGTATACTATTCAATTTGACAATTGGAGCAAAGGTCTCCTTATAATCAATTCCCTCCTTTTGGGTGAATCCTTTTGCAACTAATTTGACTTTTATACCTCTTGATGGATCTATGAACCTTGTATTTGACTATATATACCCACTTGCACCCTACAATGCTTTTCCTGGTCAGTAGATCCACTAGCTCCCCAAGTGTTAGCTTTCAACAAGGCTTTCATTTCCTTATCTATAGCTTCCCTCCATTTGAGTTCAACAATGGCTTCTGAGTACCTAGAAGGGGTAGAAACAGAGGACAAGGCCAACACAAAAGAGTGGTAGGCAGGACACAAGTGAGAATATGAAACAAATCTATTTATAGGATGAAGAATGCATGAATGAACCGGTTTTCACTAGGCAATAGGAAGATTTGTAGGGGCCTTTTTGGTTCTTTCTCTCTTATTTGAACTGTAGCTCAGCCCTAGATAGGGTTTTCCAGTATTGGGAGCTTGGGTTTTGAGGAGTTGACTCCTTTTGCTGCCATTGTTATTATAGCAGAACTGTTACAGGAGGAGTTTTACTTCAGGTTCAAGTCTGAAATCCCTAAAAATCCAACTTGTTTTGTTGTTTTCAGATTGGTATTTCTTGTGCTTATTGTTGTATACTTGAAGTGCTGCATGTAATTCATTTTTCTGTCCACATCAAGTGGTATTAGAGCAAGTTCTTTCCTTGGGTTTGCTTCAAAGTTCATCCTCCATGTTCTGTTTTTCTATATTATTATGGCTGCAAGGGGTGGATGTGGTATGGGTGGTAGAAGATCAAAACATATTACTATAGAGGTTTTCCAAGAGGCTATGTGAGGGCTGCAAGAACAAACGGAGCATCTTGCTCAACTTGTAGCTCAAAATGCTGCTAGGGATGGTGGCATAGCAAGCAATTTGGGGCTAGGAAGAAGAAGACAAGCTCCTAGAGTTGATGAACAACCCACTGACATTATTAGTGAAGAATCAAGTGAAGGAGACATTGAGCAACCTGGAGGTGATCAGCATGAAAAGAATAACAACCAATGATGGGAAGACTGAATAGTGCAAGCTTTACAATCCAATCAAAGTCATGGTGTTCAACTTCATATTAACAAGTTTGATGGTGAGTTGGAACCTGAAGAGTTTCTAGATTTCTTGGACAGCATTGAAAATTATTTTGATTTGAAGAAAATGAATGAAGAAAGAAAAGTGAAGCTTATAACAACAAAGATGTGTAGGTAAGCCTTGGATTGGTGGAAAAGTTATGAAAGGAATAGAGAAAGGAAGGGGAAAAGAAATGTTAGTTGTTGGGGAAGAATGAAAGAAAAGCTGAAATCACAATTCTTACCACTAAATTATGAGCGAACTCTTTACAAAAAGGTTTAGAATTTAAGGCAATGGGAAAAGAGTATAAAGGAGTACACAAAAGAGTTTAATAGATCAACTCTTCGGAGTAATATGACAAAAACTGAACAATAAAAAGTTGGTAGATATATCAATAGTTTGAGGTTGCCAAATCAAGACCAAGTCCGCCTACATTGTCCGTATAAGGTAAAGGATGCATATTAGCTAGCTCTAAATGTTGAAGCTTAATAGAGTTGGAGCTCAGGGCGGAAATCAAGTGTTGTCCAAGGTACATCTTCATCAATAGGTCAATGAACAACATCTAGTTGATGAATTCATTGATGAACATGTGTTGTCCATGGTACATCTCCAAGTGTTGTCCAAGGATTGAAGGGCAAACACATCCAGTTGATGAATTCCTCAATGAACAACAATATGAAGGGCAAACACATCTAGTTGCAATTAGTTTCCCCCTACCTAAACACATTTAAATTTTGACTACTATTTTTTTGATAGTAAAAAAATTATTTAAAAGAAAACAGAAAGTACAATATTAGATGACAAAATATCACCCAACATCACAAAAAGAATGAAAGACAGAAAGAAAGATCCAACTCAAAATCAACAACAGAAAAACAGTCTTACTTAACAAAACCTATGAAGCCACAAAAAACCACCTCAAAACTGATGGCTTCAACCTCCCCCAAACTGAATTCAACAATCAAACCTCCCCCCACACACCAAAAAAAAAAAAAAAGAAAAAAACAAAACAAAACAAAAAAAGAAGAAAGAAGTATCAGCCTCAATCCAATCATAACTTTTTATCCATTCTTTCCTAGAGCTGCTTTGGCTTGATTGGAGACCAACCCAGTTCTCTTCTTGCTAACCTTCCTTGTGTTCACCTTCTTCTGGGGACCAGCCCCAAGTAAACCCCCTTTTCAGACAAGGAAAAACCTTAAAAATTTGGATTACTCTTAAAAACCCCCTTTCTAGCAGCATTCAAATTCATTTCAGCCTACCCCTGATTTTTCTCCTTGGAATTATTACACAAGTCTCCCCCGTGAAACCATTATTACAACCTCTCTTCCTTCTCCTTTAGAGATTCCACTCTTTTTTCCTCCATGGGAAGGACCTAAAAGTACCTGTTCATGGAATACTCTTTCTATTTTGTCTGCCTTTCTTTCAAAACCTTTTTTCTTCTAGCTCCTTGAATGCTTTCTTCACAAAACCCTCCCTTCCCAAAGTGAACAATCCCAAAGTTTCACTAATGGTCTTATGAAAATAGTGACACTTACGTTATAGGCAGATTCAGCCACGTCTCCATCTTAGACACACTAATCTCTTACTATTATAAACCTCCACCTTAATTTTTGTATAGGCTTATGTGATTAGTGAGTCCTATGTGATATGCGAATTATTGAGCCACTTCTCCATCTTAAACCCACTAAATTAATTATTGAGCATTACTAGCTTATTTTCCTTTAAAATCTGCAAATTTCATTACTCACCCTTCTTCATCCACAGATTATCACCAATATGACTTTTCTCCTTTTTGTCCTACATCAGACTAGACTCACCTTCCCATATTTCAGTCATACATCAGTTGGTCCTATATCAAATTTGTATCAAAGAAGCTAGCCCTACATCCAAAAGTGTAATCTTGGAAAGATTCTTGGCATGGTGTAGAAAAGCTTAACCATTTTCCTCATTTGTAATTTTGTATAGTTCAAATTTGGGAAAATCTATGATGCTTTTAAGATGTGTTATGATGTAGGAAAGCTTAAGATTTGATAGAAATATTTTCTCTTATTTTGGATTAGGCATTTATTCTAAAAAAGCTCAAGGCCATCTAATGGATTGGTATTGAGATTCAAATGGAATGGGATTTTGAGACAGAATTTGTCTTATTTATGGCATGGACCTTTATTTTTCTGTTTCTTCGTATTTTGTTTTTTGTACTTGATGTATGTATCCTCATTATATGGGATCCTAGGTAAAGTCAATTGGGTCCTCCTTTCTGCAAAGGCCTCTCTAATTTCTTAATTTCTATAAAGTCATTTACCTAATGCTGGTTCTGACTATCCTTACTCTTGGGAGTGGTGCACTGGATGTGGACCTAAACTCTGGCCTTTTTAGCACCAGTTGGCTACTCTTGTACTTGAACCTACATTCTTATGTTTCTTCGTTCAAGATTTTTCCATTTGACTAAACAGTGATCCCTAATAAAAATGCTTCTTATCTATCATTTCCATTTCGTCTCCATTGTAGGCAAAGGACAAGAATATTGGAAAGATGAAGGCATAAGTGAGGAGATGCCAGCCTGTCGGCGAATGTTCAATATTTTTCACCCCTTCGATCCCGTGGCCTATAGGTCTGTCTTGAATCACTTTTTTTTAATTTAATATATTCTAACATTCTCTCTGTTAATTTTGCAGTGTTTACATTTTATCATTTGTATGTGTGTGCCTTTTTATAGCGGGGGTGGGGGGGAGATTGTTGTGTTATATTCTTTATGGATTACCTTGTCCATCTATGTTACTACATTAGAAGGATAGATTATTGGAATCCAGAATAACATTTCATGTAGATAGATCTCAAGGCCAACATACTCTTTGGGTGACAACCTGACCAGGGGAATGGTTTGGGAGGAATGTTCTATATTTGGGCGTAAGAACCTCTGGGTAGATCTCCTTGATTTTGGTTTTAATAGAATTCTATGTTTCCACTATGTAGTTGGGGTGGGGGGGAGAGAGTGAAACTGGCATCAGGAGATAGGAGTGGTGTCCCCTCATGGTACAGTGGTAGGCAGGTGGCTTACACAAAGAGGAGTCAGAACCAGTTAACAGAGTTGTCCCAACTATAAGATTTATGGGGCTTGAGATTAACCTGCCTAGTGTCTTGCCTGTTCAACTGGTTTTCATGTCCTACTGGCTTCTTCATGGGGCTGTGAAAGGTAAACAGCGGAATATGGTAGTGTATCTCTTAGGTAGGTTATACATGTAATTCAAAAACATAAAACAATAAACTGATACAAAGAGTAGAAGAAGAAAGAACTTGAGAAGAGAGACGAGAGATTTATGATGTGAAGAAGATAACTTTAGAGCAGTAATGAATTTCTCCTTTTATTTTATTTATCCAAGGGGTTAAAAGCACCACAATAAATCAATTAATCTACACTTCAGTAGTTCATATTAAAGGGCCAAAGCAACCCACAAAAAAAAATGATTTATATAACCAAAACCAACAAGATACAAATACCAAAATACCTAACCAGTACCAGAAAATTAAACATTAGCAAATTTATTCTCTAGATTCTAGATCTTCAAATTGAGTATAGATATTGATCATGTCTACCTTGTTGATCCTTTAAAGTTTATAAAAGTGACATCCTGAGTAGATATAGTAACTAACCCACAAGTCACTGAAACTTGTACTTATCCTTGAGTAGGTTTGCAAGAAATAAAGTTGATTTGATTCACTATAAAGCCAAGATTACCATGGTGTATATGACTTTTTAGTTTTTGTTTATTTCATACATGTAAATCGCCCAAAATTGTAGCTCTTAAGTCTGAATTCTTCGATGGAAAATCTACTAATGGTGATAATCCAACTGGCCAGATCAATCCTCCAATGGAAATCACACCGCTCCCTTTTCTGAAGGTTTCAGCACTTAGTTCTAGATTAGTTGGGCACCAACATAGAGCAATTTGGTCTCTCCTTTAGAGCTGGTTGAATTCTACATACTGAATTTTCTAATATCTTATGTATTAAGACAAGCCAAGTTGTAAGGGGGTGTGTGAGATCCCATTAGGGTTTCCATCCTTAAGGATTAGGGTTTCCCAAGAACTCTATCTCTCTGCTCTTGGATAGGAATCTTCCATCCACTCTCTGTAATTTGCAGTGAGGATTAGAAAGACTCCTAAAGCTGCAAAGAGGTCCAGCAATTAAATTAAGTCCTTTAAGTCCCAGAAATTATCACGTTGGCCCCTATATGCAAAGTTAAAAGGCAATTTAGTCCTTCTGCACAACAATGTTTGGATCTAGTTGGGAAACCACATAAGGAATCACTATCTCAATTAACCACCATTATATAGGATTTAACCAAGAGTTCTGCTCTAGCTGGGAATTGAGAGTCCTAATACCACAAGGACTCTTCCCATATTAATCCTAAAGGCCTTTGGAAGCCAAATACTAGAGTCAACTAGGATTCCTCCCCAGGAGTCCCAATTTAATTGGGATTCTTCTACACTCGTACCAATGTTACCCAAGGACTCATATAGGAGTCCTAGTGTCACTAGGATTTCTCTGCTAGAATCCTAGTTGGATTAGGACTCTTGCCCAAAAGTCCCAATTTTGAATATCTAATTGGGAGTAACACTCTCCTCTTGTCTAAATGTGCAGATTCCTTATTGGACATTCATAAAACCATAAAATCATTCATAGACACCCAACATATGAAGTCTCATAGCCACAAGTCATCAATAGTCATCCTCATGGTATATCAAAGTGATTGTGATCACAATCCTACAATCTTGGAACTCCTCATGTCTAAGGACTAAATAGACTTTGCATAAAAGAGATTCATACAACTGATAGTGATAGATAAATACTATTAAGAATCAATCTCTAAACTAGATCATATCAGTGTGCATCCCAGATCACACATTCACACCCACATGGCATTCTACACTCTCACTTCAATGGCTGATATCTCACCACTCCACCCAGTGGAAATTATCCATGTGCTAACCTTTATAAAGTGAGTGGTCCAAGCTCACCCATAGCTACAAGCTAGGATGTTTTGGGTCTATAAGGAACTGGGCTATCTAGATCTCCCATGATAGAACTCATCTATCATTTGGATTCTCTACAATATTGCCTATGGTTATAACAATTAATGTGAAAAGTAACTGTAGATAACATGCCTCATGAAAAAGTAAAGCTTATATTAGCAAAGATGATGTAAAATTAAGTAGATCTGGCTTTGAATGAACACATGGAAATCTCATTTCCAAAACAAGCTTCCTCTGGAAAATGAAGAAATTTTAATGCACAAAATGTATTTTAGATCATTCAGATTCCTGATATCAAACTTAGGGGAAAGAAAACAACTTGTTCACTTTGATTTGGTTAATCCCTGTTACCACCAAATTATCAACATATAAAATCAAGGCTGTTAGGAAGTTTAGGGCTATGCAAAACTAGCCCTCTGTAATCTAGAGAAACCATCTTCAATATCTGGAAGTTTTGGGCTACCCAAAATCTGAGACCTTACTAGCTCAAACTCTGACTTGATTCCTGATAAAACCTTAGCCACATAGGAATGTTTTCTTTTCTTCTTCATCTCTGAGACATCTGAAGTATTGGGCTGGTATGAATTGAGGACCTCACGTATTTATATCATTTTAGAATAATAATCCTCTGAGATTCTATCACCCTATTGCAAAGTGATGAGTGCCTGGAAAAATCGATAAATCCTTGTAATGTTATCATTCCTGGAATACATCTTTCAAGCCAGCTCCCATGTCAACTTGAAAGTATCTAAGAAAATCAGCCTACTGCTAATTTTTGGATCCATTGAGTTCCACAACCAAATCTTGATTTGTGCATCTTCTTGCACCCATTCTGTATATGTGGGAGTACCAGATTCAGGTTTACTATCAGTTAAATATTTCAGTTTTCCCTTAGCAATTAAGAAAACCTCCACAGCCTTTGCCTAAATGGCATAATTTCCTGTACCATAAAGTTTGATTGAGATCATTTGAATTGGTAAAATATCAGCCGAGACAACAGCAATACCTTTAGACTCCATCCTAACCACTTTCCTCCAATAAAAACTTATCTCTTTTGAAGAAGAAATCTGGTACCTCCCTAACTTTAAAGATTTCAAGTTCACATTGGAGATATTTAGGGATGTCAATTTCTACCCTACCCGGTGGGTACCTGCCCCTACCCTCCCCGATGGGGTGGATTTTTTTGCTTAAATGACGGGTTTTGGGGTGGGTATGGGTTTTGAGATTCTACAACCCTTACGGGTACGGGTAGGGTACGGGTTTAGGCTAAACCCAACCCTCCCCAACCCGCTTATTGTTGGAAAGCATATAAACTTTATGTACTAAATGTTGAATTTAATAATATTTTTGAATTTTATGTGAATGATAATTACTAGTTTATGTGTTTTTTATGTGCCTTAATCAAATAATTAGAAATCTTGATGTTTATTTGTGTTATTTTACTTTTTTATTGCTTATATATGACAAGAAATAATTGGAAATTAGATGCAAGTTTTAAACCCAATCTGCCCCTCCCTACCCTTGAATGTGGGGAGGGTAGGGTTGGGGAGGGTTTGGATTCTCAAAATCCAACCCGCTACGGGTTTTGGGGCAGATACAGGTTGGGAGTTTTAGGGAGGCGGGTAGGGTCTAGAATTTACAAAACCCTCCCCAAACCCGCCCCATTGCCATCCCTAGAGAAAATAGCTATTTCAACATAAAATTCACCTGTAATGACTTTTCCAGTGGCCACACTTGTATTCTTCAGATGGACTCACAACATCACCATATGTCAGCAGTAACCTGATGGGGTTCTAGTTCACCAATCACCTTTAACCTCATAATGATGACAGTTCATACCTGATCACTCCTTCTCTGTATTCTCAGGTTAGAGGGATCACTCACATCACTCCAGTCTCACCAAAGGAAGGAAAAACATGGAGAGATGAAAGGATAGGATCGATCAGTAGAGAAAAAAAAAAGAAAAAAAAAAGAACTTTCTGTCTCACATGAAGAAGAGAAAACAAGAGAATAGAGACAAAAGAAAAGAAATGGCTGATCAGGGCAAAACCTGCTCTGGTACCATGTACAAATTGTACCTTATAGCAGAGATAAATAGCTGAAAGTAGAAAACTCCAGCTGCCTATTGGGAGGAAAGCTCAGTCTCCCAATCAGTCAGTAGGTATTTATATTAATCTCAGGTTAAATGGGGTAACTTACAATAATAGCCTTCACTAGTGTAAAAGAACATGAAGTGCCTAAACTACCCTCACTTAAATGGGGTAACTAAGGACTCTGTGATGCAGATGATCACATAAGCATATCATTATATAGGGGCTGAGCAAGGTGGAGGATGATGGAGTTTCATGTGTTGCTAGAGTTCCTCTTAGCGGAGAATTACAGAGGTTTTAGGGGTGAGGGAGGAGAAGAAGATGAATCTTCTTTGCAGAGGGATTCCGCCCCTTCTGAAGGATTAACTTTGGGTTTTGTTCAATTTGTACTGGGCAAGGATGGGGTTCCCTAAACCTAAAAGCAATTAGCAACTAAAGCAGCCAGGAAGTCAGCTCTGGCAACCGGTGGAGTGAAGAACACCCAAGTTTCAGACCTGAGGCGGTGGCTCTGATAGAAATCAGGGCGACTGGTGGAGTGAAGACCCAAGGTTCAGACCTGAGGTGGTGGCTCTGAGAGAAATCAGGAAATATTAGAAGAGTGGAGACGGCACCACCTCCTCCCCACCATTTTTCCAATGCAAATTGTCGATTACATCTGAGTGGAGAGAACTGAGTGGAGAAGGCACCTCCTTCCCACCAAATAACGTTGTTCACCAGAAATTCCTGAAAAAAGCTGTACCAAACAAAGTTATCTCTGGATGTAACTTGTCGATTATGTCAGGATTCACCAGAAATTACCAACTGACATTGCCTTTGGCACAAACCACCTCTCAGTTCGAAGAGCCAACTATATCAGCTCGGGATGCTCGGAAGATCAAAGATCAACCATGATGACCTTGTTCTTCACCGATTGAGGTTGGCAATCCCCTCTTTTGCAGGGACGGTGGTGGAGAGAAAAAACAGAAAAAAAATCTTTTATACACCTAACACCTTGCGGCAGATGATGGTTCAAACTAATCAGCTTCCAAGGTTGTATCTTCTGATGGGCCCTTGGACTGAACCCATTTTCAGACGACAACCACAAGCCCCCCCCCCCGTTTTAGACAGCAAGCACCGGTGCCGAGGGTGAAGAGAAGCAAGCACTTGCTCAGGTTTAGATTGCAAGCAGCGACACCCCCCGCGTTTCAGATGACAAGCATCTGCGGGGGGTGAAGGAAGGGCATTACTGTCATTTTTTCAAAATATAACAGTCACGTGTTGTGGCAGGTGAGCGGATTATGACGGAACCCTAACAGCAGGGGAGTAATTAGTCAATTGTCAGAAACAGTAGGGATACTTTAAGATAATAAATAAACAGTAAGGGTAGAGTTAGTCAATTAGCTAAACAGTAGGGGTAGTTTAAGAAATTTGCCCTAACTTAAAATGACTGAAGAAACCCTGTCCACACAACTTAAATAAGAGAACCAACTCTAAGGGAAAAGGATAAACATGTCATTGGCAGAAAACTAATGGAACATGAAGAGAATAACTACAGCCAACTACTCCATTAAAACCACCTTAGTCTACTTTCCATCATTTTATTATCTACTAGAGCTACTCTTAGTTAAGTTAATCAGATCCTATCTTTTCTAGTTTGCCCACTTAACCATCTCAGCATTTTCCTTTTCTGCTACACCCAATTTTTGGAGATGTTCTTTCTTGGCTTCCCAATACGTTACTCTAAACAACACTACTGCCTTATAACTTGTTTATAAAATTTTCCTTTTAGTGGTATTCTCCTATCACATTGAACCCATCCCTCCAAACAAGAGCACAATTCAGGGGAAACTAATGATGCCATGACCCAATATCTACTATTTACTCAGATCATAATCAGGGTTCAATCTGACAAGAAATTCAAACATTCAAATTTATCCGTCTAATTCGCTAAATCTTTTCCTATCAGCATTTACACCCCATCCAATAGTCTAACTTTTCTTGTTAAGTCAGAGAATATAATTTAGGCAGGTCTGAAATATGTAGATTCAAACAAGTAAAAACAGTGGAAAGATAGAGAAAACAATAAAGAGAGGACAGAGGTAAAACAGCTGAAAGGGGAAAACTTTCTTGGGGTACATATACCCCATTGAGATAGTTAATTATGTTGTTTCTTTCTTATTCATTCCTGAGATAGTTATTTGTCCTTTCTGTTTCATTATTTAAATGGGATATGTTGGTTTGTTCTATTTTTTCTTAAACAGGGCTATTTCTATAACCCCTCTCAGATTTAAAGTTTTGTTATAATATAAATACTAGACTGGCCAATTGAGAGATCATTCTATTCTCAATTAGACAGCTATCTCTCTTCTAATCTCTCCCTCTATTCTTCTGTTTTTCTTCTCCACAACCAAATCTGATTACAAGAAAGAAATCAGGTAGAGCAGCCACTTTTATGAGAAAAGCAGCATTGTTAACAACTTGTAAATTACAAGCTTTAAGCATAAATTGAGACAGAGAAGAACTTAAGAGATTAACAATGTGAAGAAAGAACTTAAGAGCAGTAGTAGATTGCTCTCTTTTCTTTTATCTGAGGCAATTTCTATGATACCAGAAAGGCATGGCTACCTGAAAAAGTTTAGCCAATCAGAAACCCACATGAATTTGAACAAATACCAGTTGATTTGGTTACCAATTGGATGATACTGGTTGCTTGGTTATCAGTAAGCACCAATAAAATGATTAATCTGCTCTTCATTAACTTGTAACAAATGACAAACAACACTACTAGGATTAGACTTATATACTCCAATAAAAGAAGATAATAATACAAAAAACCCAACACAGTACCAAAAATTGAACATTAACTATTTCGGTATCTCAATGGTTATACTGGATTATATCTTTCTATTCCCAACAGGGAACTTTTCCTGCTTGGGCAGACAGGAGTTTGTATGTAAATAAAAAAGTTATATCAATTTGTTAGTTTTTCCTGTTCATTAATGTTGCTTTTATATATTATGTTCTTGCATGTTGGAATCTCTATATTTTCTATTTTGAAGTGAGAACATATCATATGAATCTAGGCTGGGCTTTCATACAGAGTAGAACCATTGATCTGTAAAGAATACATCAGCAAACGCCCTGTTATTATCCCTTATCACAGAGGTGGAAAGAGGCTACATATAGGGTTTCAGGTAGGTGATTAGCTCTTGATTTGTGTTTGGTTTTATGTAGTTCAGTAGTCAGTTTTCTTTTTCCTACAAGCATGTGATTATGTTCATAATTTGTGGTACAGGAGTTCAGAGAGGATATGGCTGCACGTTCACAAGCAGTTATGGATCACCTAAAGGCCGTGAGGGTTGGTTCAGACTCTTAACATTTGGTGTTTATATGGGAAATATCGTTATCTGTACATTCTTTTTCTGTCATACTCAAATAATTAACGAATTGATCTGCCAGGAAGTTTCTTATGAGAGTGCAGTGTTTTGCTTATTATGTTTCTCAATGTTTGAACAAGAAAACCATCCATGGCTAGAAAAAATATTTTTGGGTTTAGAGGGCTGAACCAGATGCAAATTGATAAACCCTGGTTCCGGTTTTGCTCAGTGTTGCTTTTCTCCTTCCCTTTACCTATGAACATTACTTCTGTCAGATGTAAAGGCCAATTTACACAATTATTCCTTTTAATATCCATAAGAAACTATTCTTGGTATATTTTCATTGTTCTCAAGAATACACTTCAAATGGAAGTTGTATTTCCTACTTCCTAATTAATTTCTGATTTATTGAGATAAACTGTCAATTTTCTGAATATGATGTTTTTATAGGTCAAAGTACTCACTGCTTGTCAATCTAGAAGTACAGATGACATGGAAGGTATAAGAATCTTTTCTCCTTACTTGTCTTTCCTTCAATGCTGCAGAACTCGGACAAGACAGACAATCAGATTGCGAAAACCAGGAACCAGTTGCATTCCGGTTTTTTAGAACACTGATTTTTCAAATTTCTGAAAAAACACTTGACCCATAGAAACCTGTGAGAACTGTTGAAAACCATCAAGGTCACTGATTTATCAAAAATCATAAAATGACAATGATAAGATTTGAACCTGTAACATCTCCTTTACATAAATTAAATTAACACACTACCATTGATCCATCATGCTATTTGTGTTTTTTTCTGTCTCTTCATTATCTATATTGGTCAAATATGTTATATTTTCTTTTAATAAAGCACAAGTTAAAAGACTTGAACCCTGGTTAAGTATATAGTATTTCATGGACACAGACACAATGGTCAGAATCGGACACATGTCCAAGAGTCTAACATGGCAATAAGAGAGAACATGGACATGTCCATGAGCCTATGTTGACTAAGTAACATTTGATACAAAAAATGGATTCATCTTGTAGATTAGATGTTCATTTGTGACAGAGAAACTAGGAGATAAAAAGGAAATGTTACGTGTAAGTGGCTGATAAAAAGAAACTGTTATGTACAATCCTTAAGGATTCGTGGAGTCTTAGGACTTGGACACGTGTCCAACACAACACATTATCCATTTAGGAGTCCATGCAACACTAATTAAAACCAGGAAAAAAACACCTTCTGACCATAACTTACACATGTTATGATATGCATTATATTTTACATTTTATAAATATGATGCCATGGTCCACTGGGTTGTCCCAGCAGTCAAATTGTATGAGCCATGACCCAACAGCCTTCCAGTTTTATGAATGGTCTGAATCTTACAGCGTTGCTTTCTTTGATACCTCTCCTTACATTATGGTTTAATAATCTTTTTATACAGCAGATTCCACAGACAATGATCAAATGACAGAAGAAAGATCATATGGTTCGATCATGATGGAGAGGTTGACTGGAAGTGTAGAAGACCGAGTTGATTATGTTCTTCAAGTGAGTATTGAATTAATATGATGCTCCTACAATTGGATCCATGTGCTTTTCCATATGTCAATGCCTAATCTCATAATCTAATTTCTTCCAAATTATAGGCTATTGCGATATCAAACTTTCATCTCTCGATCTCATTTTCAAGAACAAGTGATCAAGTTGTTTTGTTTATAGTTGTATTCTATAATAATGCAAAGAATAGGCTTAACAGATATGTTCTAGTGACCTTTTTATCAGAAATCACCAAACCTGAAATAGAAAGTTGCTGCAAGTTTTCTTTAAAAAATATTTTAGACCTCTGTGCAGTGCGGATGCCTTGTAAACTAGGGTAAGAGCAACTTAAAATACAAGTATACCACCCCTCACCTTAAAACATAAGTACAAGTAAAACCCTGTCCAAGAATAACTAAAATGACATTGTTTTATGAGTAATGACCCTGTAATAACCAACTCAAAACCTTTTTTTTAAAGAGTAGGATAAAAAGATTTTATTATAAACAAAAATAAGTACAGTCAGATCAGGTGTCAAGATGATACACAAATACATCAGTCCAAATTAAAAAGATCCCAAAAGTTTTCTGTGAAGTCTGAATTTCTTGTTTGCTCAATACCTTTCTGACTAGCTGCTTCCCTTTCTTAATCATTTTAGACTTTCCACATGCCATTTCATACTCAAGTGCTGCAGCCTCTGTGCATCAGTCCCTTCACTTGAAAAGGACTCATCCTCAAGTCCTGCAATGCTGGAATGGGATGATGATACTCATAAGACTAGCAATGTTGAGAGGTGCCCTTTCAAGATTTTGTAAGGCTCAACTTTCTTTTCTTGCAACTTGCTTTATTGGCCTGTTGGAAACCTTATTACCTTCTTTAAAAACCTTAGAATGCTTATGGTGGTCAGCTGCTTCTTTGTACTTGGCATTGGCTGCTTCAGGGTGTCTCTTGTGCATGAATAGAAATGATCTTATTAGTAAAATGCTTTTATTATCTGGATAAGAGGTGAAGATTTAAGAAGAGTATTTGGTGGAAAAATAGTGCTTTGTGTCAGTCCTTTCCCAGAATTGTGTAACCTTTCAACCTGGAAAACAAGGCAATCGCTGAATTGGTCACCCTGGGGGATAATGGTGAGTGTGGGATTTGGGTTTGAGAAGGCCATTGAGGGATATCTGTAAGAAATTCCCAATTGACAAGGTCATAGACTTTCTCCAAATCCAACTTAACTACTACTCTCTTCCTCCCTGATCTTTTCTACTCCTCTTAACATTCACTTGCTATAAGAATTTGTTTCTCCTAAGCAAAAGCTCCTTGGAACTATGTGATTATATAGGGAAGAACTTTCTTAATTTTCAAGGTCATTTCATAAATTCTTTTGACCAAATTGATTGCCCTGAAATCTCCAAGGTGTCTAGCATCAACCTTCTTTGGGACCAAAGTGATAAAAGTTGCATTCATTCCTAGATTAAGGACCCCTCATTTGTGGAATTCCTTAAAAATCATTATCATGTTGCCTTTTAGGATATCCCAATAGTCTTGATAAATTGCCATGGTAATACCATCCGAACCTAATGACTTTGATGTGTCCACAGAAAACAACTGCAGCCTTAATCTCCTCCAAGTCAAACATTTTCTTTAGCGTCACATGGTAGTTCCTTTCCACAACAAGCCACTCTAAACCCTCTACACTCCACCTTCCATCCAATGGCCTTCTGTAAATCAACTTAAAATGATCCACAAAAGCTTTTGAAATATCATCCTGTTTCATAATTATTCAGCCATTCACATTCAGCATTGAAATAAACTTTTTTCTCCTTCTCCCATTGGTTACTGCATGAACTTTGTACCGTCACCCTCCAATCCATCTAACCCTAGACTTCTATCCAACTTATTTTTTACCTTGACAAGGTATCCCCCAATTCTTTATTCAAACTCTTCTTATCTTCTTCAACCATTAAGCCTTGATCCTATTTCTTATCAATCTCCTCCATTTGGTTGATCAAACTCTCTTTCCTTTCCTCTACTCTTCCAAAATGCAACTTATTCCATTCTTTAATCTTGGCCTTCAAAGCTTGTAATTTTCTAAAAAAAATTCTCATTCCTTCCCATTATACCCGTTGATGTTGCTCCTCACACCATTCCCTCACTTTTTAAACAAAGCCTGGATGAATTAGCTACATATTCTCAAAACTAAAAGGAATTGAGGATAGGGACCTCCCACATGCTTCTCTTGACGTAAGAAAATAGGCCAATGGCCCGATGTGACTCTAGCAAGGGTTCTACCCAACAATTTCCCTAGTACTCTTCCCAATCTCGTGTCACAAGAAACCTATCCAGCTTTGAGCAAATTGGGTTCTCCTGAAGATTGGGGCAAGTATTCTTTGTTTGTCCAAAAGACATTTTTCTAAGCTCATGAAAGTCAATAAAGTTGTTAAACCTCCTCATATTGGTTGTTATCATTTGCCTTGAACCATACATTGAAATCTCCACCTAGGCACCATGGTCCATCCCACAGTCCCCTAATATCTACCGATTGTTCCCACATTGCATTCCTCTCTCTCACACAAGGCATATTGTCTACAAAGTTTAGAAGTTATATAGTTAAATATATCTTTCTGCTTCCAAATATTGGCTATAGGTGATGACTAATGAGATCCATCAATTTGATCTTATCCAGAAGTCCTGAGATTTGAGATTGTTTATCTATTAACCACTTTTGGGATGATTTGATGTCAACATCAATGGGTGTAGTCCAAGCCAATTCCAAGTCAAAGATCATCTTGTGTCAATTAATGAAATCAAAGATCCAAGTGGAAACTCTTACCTAATCTTGAGGTTCACTTGAAGTTGTCTGTCTTCTGGTCTTTTAGATTTAATTTCCTTTTATATGTGTAGCACATCTATTCCCCACAATGTAAAAATGCTTGCCATTTGTAGATCACATGCCAGAGTGCAATTATGTATATTCTTTCGCCAGTGTTACATATAGTATCTTCCAACTTCTTTTCATTTGTCACTGATTAAGTTTTACCAATATGCAGGATAAAACATTTCAGCATCCATATATATCAGCAATTGGATCACATACGTGAGAATTCAAATTTTCATCACAAAATTTCTTTTAATGGAGTTTATCGGTTCTAAATGCTGCATGATTTCCTTTATATGTTCCTGGCTTTGAATGCTGCTATTATAGAAGTTAACCACAAGACTTTAATGTTTCTTATGATTGGTAGTACTGGATGTGCAGAAACTATTGGCGTGACCATGATACTGCTCTATTCATACTCAAACACTTGTATAGTGATATACCCGAGGAACCCAACTCTCCAGAACTGCCCAGTGAAGGCGGTTCAAAAAGTCAGAGAGTTCCCACAAGACGATTTTATCAAAGGGACGACATGGATGAAGATCTTCCCTTAACATTTTCTGACACGATAGTGGTTAAGGAGTTCTCAAGAAAAGTAAGGAAAGCAATGAAGAAGTAAAAAATAAAAAAAAAAACGCTGGTTCTTCAGTTGAGTCTGTACAACATGTACATGCTTCGCTTGAAGTTCCTATTAACAGTATTGTTGTGTAAATATTACAATGTCGCTCATCATTTTCCTTCATGCTTTTGTTTCTTCTCCATAGGCAAAGAAATAACATAGGAGTGCCCCCTCTCGGAGTAGGAGTGTAGGACATAAATAGACTGAGGACATATGTATATATACCACAGTACCACACACCACATCTGCCTCGAAATGTATTATCATATTTTACAAGTGATAGAAAATTTGGAAACTTCATGTGCTAACTGACGTTTTGCTTACCTAAATAAAGGATTTAGAATGTATTTTTGTTGAGGTATACATTGATTACATTCTGAGAATATTGAATAATATACTTTATTGTTATTTGGTTGTGCTAATGGGGATGTGAACGTATAAGAAGTGCTGTAGATATAATTATATAAATAATGTTTGCAATCAGTTGTTGATCCAGAAGGTCAGACCATTTAAATCATTACCCGCCCATTTTACTCCAAACCAGGTAAATTTGAATTACCTGTTGACCTAGTTGGTCAAACCATCCATTGATTATGGTAACAGAGGACCATAAAATGGATGTATCAATAAAATGGTCCATCCATTGATTATGGACCCCGACCGGAACCAAACCAATCGGTTTTGAGGACAGTCAAGTCTGACCCAACAGACTTGATTATAATAAATAAAAAATAAATATTTATGTTATTGGGTCGGGTCTAAATTGGTTAAGGACTAGGTGGAACTGGTTCCAAATCGATAGTTATTTATTGTATTTTGTTATAATTTGTTCTCAATAATTGTGTATTTTTGTTATAAATATTCAATAATTACTGGAGATTAAACTGGTGCTATTTATTAGAGATCATACTATTAATTTAGTTGAAATTAGGGGTGTTCATGGGTTGGCTTGATTCAATTGTAATAATAACAACAATTATTATAATTATGATATTAGACTAAAAATAGTAATAGAAAATTAAATTTTGTTATTCAAAATAATTATAATTATGAGAAAATCAGTGATAATAACAACAATTATTTTTGTCCCATAGTAATTTTTAAATAAGTTTTTTTATTCAATAATTTTGTTAAAATTAATTTATTTTATTAAACGATTGTTAATTTATTGTACTATTGGAGATTAAACTATTGTTATTTAAATTTTTAAATTTTATTTATTATACATATTGGATTTGTTGTATTTTTGTTATAAATTTATTTTTAGTAATTATGTATTTTCATTACAATTCATTGATTAATATTTATTAGAGATTACATTATTTTTCATAATTATTCTATTTATTGTATTTTTTGTTATAAATTCATTCTCAATAATTGTGTATTTTTGCTATAAATTTTCAATAACTATTGGAGATTAAACCATTACTATTTATTAGAGATTAAACTATTAATTTAGCTGAAATTATGGGCATTCATAGGTCGGCTCGATTCAATTGTAGGCTATTTAGCCAACCAAATTGACTTGGTTGAGTTGGGGAATTAGTTGCAAAAACGACCAACCATTAGTGAAACCAGCCAACTAGGGTTGTATTGGTTTGGGTTGGTTTTTAGTATCATTAAATAAACTAAGAAATATGGTTATTTTTCTACTTTTCCATATTAAAAATAATATTAGTATAATAAATATATCTATGGTTGAGTTGGTTCAATTTTGGTTAGTTTACAAATGGCCAAACCAAAATTGATCCCTTGAAAATTTTCTGAATTGAAGTTAACCAGAAATACTAGAAAACCAGCCAACTCGAGGCGAGTTGAGTTAGGTTGGTCGGTTTCATCAGTTTGATAAATAGCCTAGCTAAAATTAATTATTATTTTTTGTATTGTAAAAAAATATTAAAAGTAGTATACAAAATACAAATAGATATTAATTATTTAAAAAGTTCAAATATAAAACAATTGCATAACTCTTTATGTGCTTCTATTGTTTAGTTTTTGCTTAACAAAGCCTATGTGTCACACAGGTCCCTACTAGTAAAAGTCCTAGTCAAACAAGTATATTGCTAAAATAATAATTCAGCCTTTCCAATTTGCTGCAACTCTAATTGCTGCCCAAAAAACAAGTGTAATCTCTTAGGTTATGTGTGAGACCCACTAGAATCATGCTCTAAACCAATTAGAATATCTCTAACATAGCTGGATCAAATCCTACCAATGCCGGACCCACTAGGAATTGATTTTCCACATAAATAGTCCAATTGATCTCCATTGTATGGGCTTTACTTAAGCCCATTGTTTTTTTTTTTTTCAATTATCTTGGTTTTGCCATTCTCAAAGCCCAGATCCATTGGTCCAGAGTTGAATGTATCCACCAAGTTGTAAGGCCTAAGTAGATACTTGCAGTATATTTTCTCAATCTATAATATCCATTACTGTGATATGGATGGACTTGCTCCATATACTCCTTTACAGTGACATGTCCTCCTCTTTTTATATGTACATGCCGGGAAAATAAAACAATCTGAATTTTCAGAATAAATTATAAACCTTTTTCAAACAACATTTGGAAGTACTAGTGTTAGTTCCTTGCTTCTCATCAAAGAGGACAACTACTAGGATATTATCTTTCTCTAACAAAGGGATAGATTCTTTTACATTAACCACCCACTTGCATTCTTTAATTATAGTTCCAACATACCTAGGTATTGACCCTAGAAGATTTTCACTAGTTGGCATGTCAAGAACCAATAAGTCTAGAAACTAGTTAAGTGCCAATATCAGGTCTAGGAATAACATGCAACGATCTGGAATCCCTACTAATCACATAGTCCAAATGTTATCGAGAAATGGTCTAGTTCAATGTTCCTTAAAAAACCATGCCTTGCACCTGGGATCTAACCTTGATAGATAATATCCCTCCTTAGGCAATACAAGCATGCCAGTCTTATTAGAACAGATTACCCAAATCTATTTATTGATTGAGAACACATTTGGTTTGTATAATGATAAAGGTTTCTCAAGTTTTTATCCTAAAATACAGAACAAGGGCTTTTCACAAAAACATGCCCAATAATATAAGTAACAAAAAAACCATAAATTGTCCTTTTATTCACGATAAATATAATATATGTCCTATTCTAGATACTGAGGGCATATACTATTCAATAGTTCCCACTTGCACTCATATTTAGTTGAGTACAAGCCAAAAATCCATATTGTCCACATGCTTCTTAAACACTTTTTGTGATAGTGGTTTAGTAATTTGGTCTGCCACATTCTTTGTAGATACTATCTTGTGGATCTCAATATCCCCTCTCTTCACAATCCCCCATATGATGTAGTACTTCCTCTAGAGGTTCTTGGACTTCGAGTATGCCCTGGGCTCCACTGCTTGTGGAATAGTCCCAATTCAATCACATAATAAGGAAATAGGAGATGTGCTAGTGGGAAGGACCCCAGCTCTTGGACAAATTTCTTTATCCACATGAATTATATGGTATCTTGACTAGTAGAAATTTACTTGGCTTTTGTTATAGAGTTTGTTGATGACCCTTGCTTCCTGCATTCCCAACTCATAGCCGCAAAGCTCAAGATGAATATGAACATAGAGGATGATTTCCTATCATCCAGATCTGATTGGAAATTGGAATTAGTATACCCCAAAACCTAAGTGAACTACCTTTGAAGACCAAACAATAGTCTTTCATTCTCTAAAGATATTTCAATATGTTTTTCAAAGCAATCCAATATTCCATGTCGGAATTGGATTATCTACTTACAACACTAATAGGCTAAGCTATGTCAAATTGAGTATACAACACGGCATACATGAGACTTCCAATGGTAGATGTATAGTGAATGTGCTTCATGTTTCCAATCTCCTAAGGGGCTTTTTGTGACATTCCTTTAGATAGAGTGACTTCGTGCCTAAAAGGTACCATACCCTACTTGGAGTTTGGCATGTTGAATGCCTTTAATATTTTGTCAATGTAAGTAGCTTGATATCACTTGAGAACTCACTTGCTTTATCTCTATAGAATCGAAGTCCTAAAATGTATGAGGCTTCTCCTAGGTCTTTCATAGAGAACTTCTATGATAGTCATACTTTCATTGTTATTAACATTCATACATAATTCCCAATGAGTAAGATGTCATCCACATATAGTATGAGGAAAGCTACCCTTTCTCCCACTACTTTCTTGTACACACAAGATTCATCAGGATTTTGTTCAAAGTCAATTTCTTTGACTATAGAGTCAAACCTAACGTTTCAACTTCTTGAAGCTTGTTTTAGTCCATAAATTCATCGATTAAGCTTGCACACCATGCATTTTCTACCTTTCGCAACAAAACCTTTAGGTTTCTACATATAGATATCTTTAGTAAGATCTCCATTCAAGAATGATATCTTGGCATCCATTTGTTAGATCTTATAATCATAGTGTACTATTATAGCCAACAAAATGAGCTTTGTAAGGCTCAACTTTTCCATTTGGGCTCTTCTTCCTCCGTGAAAATCCATTTGAACCCAACTGCCCTTACCCTAAGGGGTGGATCTGTTGGAACGGTTAGGTTCCATAATATGGACGGCCAAACCATGCTAGATGGCTGGGTGAAATTCCAAAAATTTTCTAATCCTTGTAGGAATGAAATTACCTATGTTTTGAAAAATTGCATTTTTTAATATTGATCTTACTCTTAACCAAACCAAATTTGAAACCAAACAAAAAGGGAGATGTATACCTGATATGGATACTACAAACATAGATCCCAAGGTGGAAGTTCACACCTAAATCAGTTCTAAAAATCAGTTCTACAAACACAGATCCCAAGGTGGCATAGTGTATTCTTGAAGCCAATTCAGCAACATAATATTTTTTGCGAAATTGAGATCCAACTACTTGAATTAAACTGAGGATGATGAGCCTAATATCCCCTGAATTTTTCTTGCAAAAATCCGAGGAAAAGCTTATCTATATCAATCCCAGATAGCTTATGTCGAATTGGGAAAAACTGAGAGACAAAAGGAGTAGGGAGAACAAAAAACTACAAAAATATGAAACTGTCTTGGACCGGTCCACCCCTTCCTCTTTTATAATCTCTTATGGAGCTATCTCCTAATCTAATTAGGAGATAATCCAAATCTAAATTAGATCTGGACTCTAATTAGAAATATACCTTATCTTCTTATAAGATTAGGTGTTCCATTCCTAGATCCAAACCCAAATTCACCCCATGGCACATGACAAAGTTATCATGTACCAGATTAATTAATCATATTAGTTATGGGCCTTAGGCCCATCAACTATAAGGCTCACGACCCAAGGGTGTTGCTTGGTCAAATTAGACCAGTTTTGTATG